TATTATGTTATGAATCATTCACTAAGTCACTAAGCCACCAGAGCTTCCTCCATGTGTCGAAAGAGCGGACCGGACTTCGCCAGCGGCCCCAGCGGCACCGCGGGCCACGTTCGATCTCAGGAGGTGAGGCCTGAGGCCGAAACGGACACCGCCGGAGCCCGGCCGTCCGGACGCCCAGTGGCGGACGCCCTGCGAGCTGCGTGGCAGCCCCTGTGGGCCTTCAATGCGGATGTTGTAAATATAGACGTTTCGAAGGTGTGTCAAGAGTGAACCCTCAAACGAAAAGACGGCAGCTTAACAAAAGATGTGTATCCTCGTGCAAACAATACGACCAGCAGGGTGTTCCCGAAGCCCTGTGTGACACGTGCAAGCGGCAAGTGCTTGAATTTACAATCACTTCTTGTGAGGTCACGGCAGCAGGGAGTCTATGAGCTTCATCAGCAGGAGCTAGAGTCAGCAAACTCACTTTCAGCGCCCCTAGAGTCAGTGTCAGGACCATTTCCAAGGAAACAAAATTCATGTACCTGCGTGAAACACCCTCAATGGGTGTTGACCAAAGCTCCGGGTCAACATGTTCTGGGTGAGACCATATGTGAGAATTTGCGTTGGACGACGTCATGCGTTATTCGGTGTATAAAGGCTCTCTTGGAGTTTGAAGGACTGGGTGGTAGTGAAAGACGTGAAGTGGTCGGAGAGTTTGCAATGAATGCCTGTCATGGCTTAGTTTTCTCTAAGCCCCAGAGTATCATGTTCTCAGCGTCGTTTGCCGTTGTGGTTGTTTTTGGTGTGTGTGTGTTGCTGTTCTTCGGTGTCAAAGGGACTAGTGGCGTGAAGAGCCTCGGCAAGTATGTATTTCAAACGCACTGGTTCCAGTGCCAAACTGGGACCAAAATTCAATGCCCGACATGATCCGTCGAACATGTGGAGATCCGATTGACCCCAGCTGGCTCCTTGTTTGGAGCCACTGCGTTTGGAATGTCACTTGAACATCGCAAAGGAAGGATGTACTGTACATGTCAATCATGTCAGACAGCCACTCGCGTTTTACTAAAATTATGACCCCTGTGATTTGGTGGATGCTGCTCGCGGGGAACAGACGCCACTCGGGTAGGACGCTCGCGAGATCTTGTACCAAGCCTTGAGGCCGCGAATTGTTGGCCGATTGGCTCCGGGCAAATGCAAGTCGTCGGTGGTTGCGCATGCCTTCGGTGAATGTCAAACACAATCACAATCAGGTTTTGAGCTTTGCAAGTGGAATTGGGTTAATGAGGTGACCAGTAAGGGCCGGTGTCTATTGACATGTCCGGCCTGTGATGAAATCACTTTGCCATTTTGTAAGTTGCTTTTGGCAGAACTGTCAGAGTGTCGCAAGGCCTCAAGTGATGACTGTGGCAGAGGAGTGGGAGTCGGCGAGGGCTGATGTTTGAGTTGGCATATGCCCTGTGTCGATATCGCAAAAGAGCATCGTCAAGGCCCTCAATGTTGGGGAGCACCCACAGGCAAGATGAATAACTCTTGTGACCTCCCTCCCTTCGGTTGATGATATCGCAAGCTGAACTACCTGAAGGTTCGTCGATGTCCTTCGTGCCTTTTGGGTTACAGTACGTAGTAAGAGTATGTAAGAGTATGAGTCTTTTGGTCTTGGACCAGGCTTTCGTGTGCGACATACAACTCCAGGGTCGTCGTCCGATCTGCTTCGTCGATCGCGTGGCGTTGGCGTCTCGCGCAGGACTATCCCCCACGGCAACATCGCGTGTCGTCCCGCGATTCGGACGTGGTGAACTTTTAGACTTGGCCTTTTGGGGCTCAAGGAAGCAAAGCCCGGCACCGGTGGGGGCCCAGTAGGTGCTAGAGAAGCTAGAGAAGAAAGACCTTGAAGAAAGGACGCCTTCAAGTGGTGCAAGCGGCTACAATGCTTTTATAAAATGCACAAGCTGATGATGATTGAACACAACACCAGTGTTAGTCCAGGAAGTTGAGGATGATAATGAAGGCTAAATCCAGATCTTGCTGAAAATGGAGGGGCAAACTGTATGGATTCCAAGAAGATGTTGCAGTGCTCCTTGGCTGTGCGTAAGTCTTTAACGGATGATATGTACGGGTTTTTAGTCAATCAGATGTTTGGTGGATTTCTGGATCCATCAGTGGCAGCATGCACCGGAGACTGAAAGATTGGCCTCTACAAACACGGGTGCACAGGGTGATCGGCGATCGCAGGTCGCATCCTGAAAGATCAGCCTGCCCATGAAGATCAATCCCCCAAAAAGGGCCAAAGCAGACCATCCCCATGAAGATCCCTGCAAACCCTTCCACCCACCAACTTTCGAGGGGCCTATATATCCAAATCTGAAAGATCTGAAAAGGGAATGAACATGGCTTGCCTGAGCGACAAGGATCAAGAAAAGAGGGACTGGAAAGACCGGAGAGCCCTGCAAACAAAGGTAGTGCTTGGACGTGAACATGGAACGGAAAGCCTTGTCTCCCAATGAAGTTGCAAGGTTGCATCTCCTGGGCAATTCTTTACTTCCTTGTCTCTCAGATTCCAAGCTTCAGATTCAAGTCAAGGAAATCTGACAGAAAGATGGCCCATACCCTGTTGGTTTTGAACGTGGAAGATGGCACCCTGACCCTCACCTCAAAAGCACCTCCACGCACAAACACCCGAAAGGGTTTGAAGTACCGTTGGGTCGTTTTACTGGATTGATCTAGGGTATCAGTTGATCAAGGATGCAGTTTCACCGGCCGCCCTTTCAAAGGGCGTGGCTCACATTTTCTCCCAGAGAGGATCGCAGGCTTGAATTCAATGTGCATCATCATTGGGGTTACCCGGACCCGTGTGAGTTCCAGGTATGGTCATGTCATGGCACGAAACAACACATAAAAAATGATTGGAAGCATTAGTCACATCATGGATTGCAGTTGCTACTTCGATCAGGAGATGATCCTTTCTACACAAAATGATGGCGATTGCGCAGGAAGGCTTGTCCGGACAAGAATCTGCCGGAAGTCAGGAGCTGGAAGTCGCTGGAGCAGTTTTTGCCAGGTAAACTGCCTCTAAGAGATCCTCAGAACCGAACTCTTTCGCTCAAAACATCTCAAAACTCCATCTTCGGCAGTATCTTTGGCAAATCCACCCCACATGTGAATGCTACTGTTGTGCTCCTTGCTGCTTCTCTAAGCAAATTGGCTCCTTGATCTAGTTTCACCAGGCGCGGATGCCTGAGACGACGGAGATTGGAAAAAGGAGACTGCAAGTGGTTGTTCAGCAGAATCGTGCATAGTTACTTCGGAAGATTTGCTGAGCGGTTTTCTGCGCAAAAAGCAAACTCCAATAACATCCAATAACCAACCTAATTAAATCAGAACATCAGTTTGGTTTCTTGACCAGAGGCATATTCATACTGAATAGATGTTTGTCTCCCAAGAAGTAGGGCGTTTTTAGGGGCCCTGTATGTGTTCGATGTTCAGCATGTTCACCGGATCGGTGATTCGCACGGGTAGACCTTAGAGCTCGCAGAGTATGGTAGAGTCCGTAGAGAATGATCGAGTGAGTGGGTAGACCTGATAGAGAGCTTTGGGGAAGGTCCACAGAATCTTTGGACTTCTGGCTCTTCAGTCAGGGGGACAAGGAAAGCTCAAGGGGACCAAGGGCACCTAGGTCCTAGGTGCTTCAAGGGGTGATTCATTAATTTCATGATATTTCATCATTGGTATGTGTCTCTCCTATCCAGAAGTCATTGAGGCTCAAAGCCAAGTGGGGCAGATATCGTCGTGCCCTTCAAGTCAGATATCGCAAAGAAATCTGGGCATCGCTTGCACAGGCATGTATATAGGGGCTCGACCAGACCTCACCAGACCGAGAACAACCCACAACTGTTCCCTTAATTCTGTGGTCAGGCCTTTTTATGTGTTCTTTGTGTTTCCTCAAGTTGGTCCTTCCTTTTCTGCAAAGATGTCCATCCCATGGATGCCAAAGGAAGTGCAAGGGCCTTAGAGGACGCCGACCAGGAAAACCGAAGGTCGGTGTCCGCTTCGCAGCCGTGGGGCAGTAGAGGGTGGTCCACATTCTTTTTCGGTAATGTGTTGCACATGTGTATAATATATATTTTGTTGGCTAGTAGTAACAAGTGCATCGCTACTAGGAGCAAGTGCCTTACTAGTAGTAACAAGAAGCTAGTAGTAACAAGTGTTCTTTTAAGTTGATCGTATGAGCGTGATGTTTGTGTGTGGCTTTCTTCTTGGTCATTTACATAGTTAAGATAAACTCAAACAAGTATTCCACTCTTCGAAGCACATGGATGTGTCTCAGAAAAGTTGGCTTTCTTCAAATGAAGCGTGGAGAATAGCACAGGATGACGCGTGGAACGCTTCAGAGTAAAACAAAACGACTTTGCAATTGTATACCTTCCAGCTGGCTTTCTTAATTGACCCACCCCAGTGGTCAAAGAATTCCAGAGTTTCTGAGCTAAGGTCCCATCGGCTATTTGAGCGGCCGCATGAGCTCATCAATGTGGGATGCCGAAGAGTCGGAAGATCGCCCGTCAACGCGATGAAAGCAAGCCTTTGTGGCCATGAACCTAAAAGACCATGGTATACCATTAGTGTCAACCATTTTAGTACACACACCTCCATGCACTATGTTCAAGGGATATGTCATGATGGCCGTGTTGTCGTCTCTTTGAAACTTGTGGAATGATGGTCATCCCACCAGCTAGTGCCTTTCATTAATGGGCGGTTGACATCTTATGGAACAGTGGCTAGTTTAGCTTTGTCTCGAGTGGTGCCACGATCCCCTCACATTACACTAGGTCATATAACACTGTCATGTTGGCCCAGCTTGTAGCCTTCACCAAATGCCCGTAGCAAAATGATGTTCTACCCATGCGATTGGTGGAGCCGATGATGCATGGAGACAGGAAACAACTGGCATCACCTCATGATAGTTGGAGCGGAGCCTGTTGGGAACAATACATCCTTGGCTTCGTGGTGTTGTTTCAGGCAACCCATAGACGGTTGAAGGGAATCTACAGAAGACAGGCAGAAAGGTGGAAATTGAGTAAGGTCAACATGTTTCACCATTCTCACTTTGCATAGAAAACAGAGTTCGTTTGAAGTTCCATCGCTCAGTCTTTGGCTCTGTGGTTGAATCCCAAAATCTTTTGCTCGCCTCAACGCCTTGCTATGTCACCAGTATTGGCGTTGCTTCTCACAAGCATTTGTTGTTGATCGGTGAGACTGGAGCAGGCAAAAGCACCTTGGGGAATACCATCCTCCGCAGAGAAGCCTTCCAAGTAGGGCATGACTTGAAGTCTTGCACCACTAGAAGCCAGACAGAAAGTGGCAAACTCTTCGGACATGACGTGACCATAGAGGTCACAGACACAGGAGGTTTGGGCGATTCAGAGGGTCGTGACGAAACCTTTGTGAAAGATGTGGCTGATCACGTCAGGTCGCGGGGGGGGTTCGATGGAATCCTTTATGTGCACAATGCCTGTGTGCCTCGAATCACCAAAGGAGCACAGAATGCGATGTTGGAAATGCTGCACACATTGGCTGATGATGCCAACCGTGCCAACCTTTGGCAACACTTTGGCATTGTGCTGACACAATGTGCAGAGTATCATTTCCTGTACACGTCCCAATTGCCAAGAGAGCTGCGCTGTCGATTTGAAGAGCTGGACTTTGATGTTCCTGTCTTTTGGTATGTGCAGGACAAAAGTACCAAGGATAGAGTCTTAAGTGCCATCTCCAGCATTCTGGGGATGAAAGGCTTTGAGAATCAAATCACCTCTTGGGTGCAGACCTTGCCAGTTCGCTTCACCATGCCGACCGAGACCAAGAGAGAGGAGCTCAAGCGGAAATTTGAAGAGAATCAGCAGAAAGAGTTGGAGCAGAAGCGACGCAGTCAGGAGCTTCAGGATCGAGTTCGACAGCTTGAGCAAGAGAAGAGCTACCAAGATCAGCAGAGCGGTTCGCAGACGCAGCGCATTCAAGCTCTTGAAGGCAGAATTCGACAACTCGAGCAAGAGAGGAGCTATAGTGGTGGCAGTTCTGAGAGATATTCGGGAAGTAGTGGCTGTTTTGCAAAGGACTCCTTGGTGAATGTCCAAGGAAAAGGCACTCTCCCGTTGTATCAGGTCAAGGTGGGAGACAAGCTGGCTACTGTGGGTTCCAATCCGTATGTAGAGGTTGTGGCATGGATGCACCATGACTTGCAGGTGATTGGAGAGGGAGTGGAGATTGTCTCTGAAGCTGGCACTCTCCGACTCACCTCTGATCACTTGGTCTTTGTGGAAGCCGACGACAAGAGAGTGGCGGTTCCCGCACAGGAAATTCTTGTGGGTGATCGCATCATTGGAGCCAATGGAACAGGCAATGTAAGCGCAGTGGCCAGAACACATATGCATGGCTACATGTTGCCTTTGACTACATCAGGTGATTTGCTGGTAGATGGAATATTGGCATCCTGCTACGGTCAAGTTGGCCCGTTGTCCCACAGCACCATCAATGGCATCATGGCATCACTTCGTTCTACTGCCTTTCCACCGTGGCTTCGCCCACAAACAGACGAAGCATGGAGCAAGTATGCCATCTATTTCAAGAAACTGCTGTGGCTTTTGCGGTTGCAGTAAATCCGTAGATGGTTTAGATGGAGCATGTTGCTTTGTTACTGCCTCTTGACGACACAGCGCAGCACTTCGCAGGATAGTATTTCAAGAAAGTGGCATTTTCAGGAGGGTCCACTGATTCCAGTACAGGCTGTAACAGACGATCAGCGGGGTCAGTGGATTCAGTGATTTGGCTTTTTCACAGTCTTTGCAGCCATTCTCCCTTTGAAACCATGATAGGTGTCAGTGAAGGGTGCAACGGCGGCAAAGAGCCTATCCTGAAAGTAACAGAGTCGAGGAATAAAGATGTTGGAGATGATAGACAGAAATCCACTGGGGACAGGGACTCACCAAACCTATTTCATTCCAAGGAGTCAGAGGAACTTGTTTGTTCTCCTGAGGTGAAGACCACTTACTTGCTCTCCACTGCTGCGGTGGCTGGCTTCCTTGCCCGTGAGGATGGAAAGAGTCCGGGCCTTCAGATGCCCTTCTCGTGGATTCCATTGAATCCAGGTGTCGAATGCTTGCCTAGAGGACGTCTCAGTGTGACGATCCCCAAAAGCAAAGGGTTTGGTTTGCATGGTTGAGCTAAACATTGCCAACTCAGGGTTGCGCAGCTTGAAACAAGTAACTTTTACGCCCAACTGTTGAACATCGACAAGGAGCTCGCAGTTCTGATGCAATTTTGACAATCTTCAATGTGCTTTTCAAATCAGAATCTCACAATTTTTGATACGTTGTTACAGAATCCTGAACCTTATTATCTCAAATGGCATAGAAGTAGACGTGCCGGCGTTGATCTGAGGACCGGCCTGGTGTCTCTGGCTCGTTTGGCGACCGAACGGAAGGGAAATCCACCTGAAACCGCGTCCAGTGCGTGCGTCCAGCTGTAGAACCACGATGCCGGCGTTCATACCATGTTAAAGCAACCGGTTTGTCTGAAGGAAGATTGCAGATGGGTGCTGCGGTATGCTGCGGTTCTTTTTTTACCCCATCATTTTGTCAGGTTTAACCGCGCACGACTTATGCCTGTGAGCGCCCTTACGTCTTGGGCCCAAGACAATCAAGTGAAAGTCCAGAGCAGATGGTGCAACTTCTGTGTATTGGTTCGCCACAAATGCTGCAAATCTACTTCATCGGAGTTGTCCATAGCTTGTGCATTACCCGAATATCCGTGGCCCACTGGTCCAGCAGCAAAGGTCTTAAAAGGTAGGCATGATAGTAGGATATTGTGATCATGAGTGAGCAGTGAGGCCAGATTTGCAAGAGCACTTGGCCAACTGCTGCCACGTCATTTGCATGAAGGCTGGACGTTGAAGAGCGCGCACAGCATTCCTGTAGTGGAATGACCAATGTTTTACTGGGATATGTGATATGTAGCACGATCAAGCATTGCAGAGTATTCAAACATATTTGAGAGCTGATAGTATGTATAATCACAGGCATCCTTGCGGTTTGGAAGCCTGTGCTGTGTTCAGCCAGCTGACACTTAGTCATGCTTAGTGTAGGATAAGAGCTTGAGAGCACGCAATACGTCTGTATGGTGCTGGGGGTAGCAATGGGGCGATGCTTTCAGCAACAGCACTTACACGCTCGTGGCCTTCAGATGTGGCCGAGCTCAACCAAGCTCAGGTGCGACAAGAGGTCACCAATGAGCACAGCCTTCGTGGCCCCCTCTCCGGAAGGCCGCCTTTGTGGGTCGTGGAGGATGACAGAGGATGGAGGTAGGTTCTTTTCAACGGCCATCGTGATGATCTAAAGATGTATAAAAGAGGGAAGTAGAAGGATGGTGTAGAGTCGTAGAGCATGTTTGTCGGCCTTTGGATTGTTGGGTTTCCCACCAGGTATGTCAGCTGTGTTCAATTCACTATTGAAAGATGCCCTACCAGACAAAGCCAGAGTCCCTTGTCCTTATGCGGTGTTCTGATCTGCAAGCAGGCCAGCAACTCAGTGGCAGGCTGGGCTGCTATGTGGGGATCTCAGTTTGCTTTCGCTCCAGTAGATACAAGCATTCATCTCTTCAGGATGAAGTCATCTATCCTGTGAGGTTTAAAGAGCCTCGACGCAGGAGAAGACTCACCCAGTTGGTCATTTTCAAGAATCAGAAGCGCCGGTATTTCATCAGAAGCGTAGGTGGCCCCAAATACTTATTTCCGGATGTTCAGATAGAAAACGTTAGAACTCAGTCTTGTAGTTTCAGGGCCCAACCTAAAGTTTGAGCATGTTTGTGCTATAGCTGCTATAGTTCAAGTGCAGTTGGCTGTTGGGCGATCCTCCCCTTTGCCAATCAATTTGGTCTGCGGGTCTGCGCGAACGGAACGACCTCGCGCTCCGATGGAAACGGACGCTTTCTTTCGGTGTCGAGTCGCACGATGGGTCTGTTTGGGTGGGTCCCTCAGGGTTGCAGGGTGGATTCGGGTGTCGTTGGGGGAACCCATGGAGTCTAGAGATGCCCCAAACATGTAAACATGACCCGCATGTCGCATGTGTGCCCGTCGCCCAGGTGCCCGCGTGATCTGGCGGGCGATCTTTGCCGCAGCGGCAGCCAAGGTGGGGAAGACGTTGGTTAAAGATCGAAGCCACGCAGAAAGCCAAGACCAAAGGAAGAGATCCAAAGACTTACAGATGGCACAGAAAGGAACAAACCCTTATCCCTTTGGAAATGAATCGAGGTCCATGATCAGAGGCATATTGTGTACCCCTATAGGTCAGCAGGAAATCAATTGACACATATTGAAATGAATGTGTTTTGTTGCGTGCAGCATGACAGGTCGGTCAGGTCGGAATGTTTGGTCCATTTGGTCAGGTCGCTTACCCTTTCACCCTTTCACCGTGAAGGGCTACCATCCTTCACGGAGGAAGAGCAAAATCTGCCATGTCAAGAAGCATAGTGGCCATATTGTAACGTTCTAGGGGTATATGGTAGGGGTATACCTCCAATCATCATGGAACTAGAAAGAACTGATAAGGAGTCCCACAGAATGAAAAGACAATACCACATTTCAAAACATGATCGGAGGGAGCCACGTGCCCTCATTAAGGCAGAGTAAATGAAATTCATGTAGGATGTTGCTTGCGAAGGGCCCAGTGGCATGGAGCATGATGGGGAACGAGAATAGGAACTGGGAAACCTATGGCCGCCTATGGCCTGGTGGAAAAAGACGGTTAATTCCTAGTCGAAAGAGTATATGGGAAGAATTGGATGATCAGAGCGAACGATCGGCTTTTCCATACTGCGCCGTGTTATGAACTTGTGCTAAGAATTCCAGTTAACTGCTGTGCGTGGTTGGAGGGTTGGCCACGAGTTTGGATTGTTTCATTTCTTCCAGTGGCACTACTTTCCAACCTGCTTATATAGAATTCCAGTTGTAATACCAAGAGGCCAGGTGCACAATACTATACGACCTGTTGTTTTGGTTGGATTAAACGGACATGCATGACGTGCATGTGTCAAGAAACAGGTCTTCGCGGAAGTGATCAAGACTGGTGTTCCAATTTCAAGAGATGGATTGGCGCAACCATCCTTGTCGGCCAGTGCCGAACTCCTTTTCAACATTTTTCAACTGAAATCCCTTATATAGCGAGAAAGAATGCAAACAAATGCATGCACAGCGTTGCACACAAGAACTAATTGAAGGGTCACTCTACAGTAACACCGCTGGCGGAGCAGTGGAGCCATGTGGAGCCACGTCTTGACATCCCTCCCCCTGCGAGGCTCCAGCCTCTAAGAGGGCAGTTCCTGGGTCTTTGCCTCAGCTCCAACCAGTTGACCTGATTGAACCAGAAATGGAGCTCTTCAGCTGCGTCAAAAGAAAAGCCTCCAAAACGCCCCAGTCTTCTTTGGTGGTGAAAAGATATACTGATCATCTGATATGTTTTTGTTCAAAGCATTAAAGACTGATGTGCTTCCATGTGCTTCCTGAATATCCAGAGGTGAAGCGTAGGGTCTATGGTTTTGCCACGGCTCGTGGTGATGTGGCCACTCTCAGGGTCTTCATGGCTGCCTGTGAGGGTCTCAAGCAGGCCAGGGTCTGCGGTGTGCGACGTTTGGGCAATGAGACGAACTAACTATCGCAGCCCCAGAGTGGACCAAGGGGCTCAAAGCCACACGCACAGCGATCCACTCTCGAAACCCAAAGCTTGCTGAAGGAACCAAGATGGAACGAAGCATTGAAAGTTCTGGGCACAAAACCACAAAGCAAGCCATGGGCCTGGCTCTTCGTTGTTCGACTCTTTAGACTTTGTTTCCCACTTCCAAGACCTGCCAGCAGAGTTTTCCTTGGCAGGCCTCCCAAAAGCTCTTGACGAAGGTTTGGCGCGAGGCTGGTTGTTAGAGCTGTTTCGTGCAAAGTTCTTGTGGATTTGAAATGGACAATAATTTTGCAGCTAGTAAACTCCAACAAAGTGGCATATTCTGGTCAGGTACAGGTGCAGTTTACATCCAAAGAGAACAAGCTTCCTCCTCAGTGGCCTATTGCATTTGTAATTGTAGAATTGTATATACAAGGGCATTTAGGTGCCATGTGTGTGTGTGTGCGTGTGCGTGTGTGCAAATTAGGCCTTTGTGAGTGGAAGAAGAAAGTAGGGTAGGCCCATGCACACATGGTAGTTCCAATTGAACAACAAGAAAGCAAGCTCATGGCAACATGTCCAAGTCAATAGGCAAAGACCGTTGACCTACAGGAGCAATTCCCAAGTCAAATACTTGTGGCTGTTGCTTTAGAAGCATAGCGGATGTCTTTTTCATGATCCAACTGAAGAGACGAAAGACACTGAAAATGCTGTGAGTGTTTCTAAGGTATCGAAACATGAAGAGCAGACCAGCATGGTCTGTCTTGGAAGCCCATCAGTTTGAGGCCTTCCGTTTGATTGGTGGGTGGGTTGGGGCGTTTGCATCCAGTGATCAGAGGATCCACTAGAAACCACCGAGTCGTTGCTGAATCACCGTTGCAGCTTTAAGATGCGAATGTTATGGAGTTTCTGGAGGCAAAGCTGATGTGCCACCCAATCAGGAACAAGCTCTTATTCAGTCCTCCCATCCGACTGAATGGTTTGGCCATGGGGCGGTGGATCCAATTGTATGTGTATCTTTCGGCCTTTGTGGTTCAAGGAGATGTTTCTATGTTTTTCACCTTGTTCACCCCATCCTCCACTCCTACACCCTGGTGCTGACACAAGGATGCATTTTTTAAGAACCTGTCAGCAAGATGAGAGATGGATTGGCACTTTGACAGGGACACTTGAGATTTGTCAATTTGGTTCCGCGAAAAAGAACAGATCGCTTGCTAATTAAGAATCATAATATTGGTGGA